TGGGGGGGGGGGGGGGGGTAGGTGAGTGAAACATCTTTTGATCGGTCACTCGAAATGTATCTTTGACTGAGAGAAGGTTTTTCACTGGTGTTTTGATGACTGTAATGTTTAGTCAGGCCTATGATGCGCAACATTCGTGAATGCTGTAGAACATTTAGATAGGCCTTAAGATTAATGATATAGATAGGCCTTAGGATTAGGGATTTAGTCAAATTATCAGCCATGCTCAAGGAGCTTATAACGTATCTGTTTGACGAATTACTAGAGAAAAGTCTCCCAGAATGCCTGATGTTATTTCTGCATTTACCGAGTTACAATAGATGACGGATAGTCCGAAGTGGTGGCTGGGAAAGCCGCTTGGTAGAGTTCTTTTCCCTATGACTCTCACTCCATAACAATTTCCTCTTATCTGTTTGTGACCTATTAATGCCCATCAGTGCAGTGAGTCAGTCTTTCTGCTATTCCACCACTCGTTTTACGCCGTTGGAGAAGTACCAGTGATCAGAGAATCCTTTATAAAACAGTTGTGTTTTGTTGCATTTCAGTAAAAGCACCCCTACCCCACTGCCAAGAAAAGTAACAGTAATCGGAAAAATGTCAAGGAAATGAGATGGTTGAGTTCCTTTCTCTCTTTGCATAGGTTCAAGCAAACACATGCTCCATGTAAAAATGCATATGTAGGAGCCTTTCTTAGCCGTGTGTTTTGGTGGAGGCTACTGTACGCGAAGTTTGTCAAATCTGCTACACGCACATGTGTAGTACAAAGGGTTAGGGTAAAGTATAAACCCCCTCCCCTCCACATCTTTAAGCATCATGATGATCGCAGCCCACTGTTCTGTTCCTGTAAGACATTAACTGTGACCTTACTGAGGTCAAGCAGCTTACAAATACAGGGGCTATACTTTTCTTTATCCCGTTTCTCAATACTTTTCTTGTTCTGAGCGGACTTGATCCCTATCTGTACATCGTGTTTTACTATCGTATCCATACAATGTGGGGAACTCTGTGCCACCACTTTCCAAAGAGGAAAGTTACTCGGTAATCCAATCCGTACGCTTTGCATAGCAGTCTGTCAAAATGATTTTTTGAGAAATACTGAAAGTTTCAAAGAGATTTTCGTACTAGAACTTAGAATTATTCTAAAATGTGAAAAGTACAACCCTGAGGATACAAAATGACTTCAGGGGGTACGGATAGGGTTAACCATTGAAAACTGCCGGCTAGATATGAGGTCGACATATGTCCACAAAAACAGTGCCTGGCTGCTTCTGCGTTGTGTTTCTTTCCTGTGTTGTAATGGACCATTCCTATACTTGTTACCTCACATTTTTCTCAATATGTGTTTCTCCTCTGCAGCAATGGTGACACAATGACATTCAGATTCCAAGTTGAAATTTATTAAAGAGTAAAAACTGGGCTAGGTCTGCTGAGGTTAAGAGATACCGTATCTTTACCATGTCTAATCTTGGTATGTATTTGCTCTCCATCATAAGTAAGCTTTGTAGTTTTACTACAGAAGCTGAAAACACTCGTAAAAAGGTCTTTGAATTTCCTTTAAAATGTGAGACAGCGTGGTGGAATCAGGCTCTCGTCAAAATAATAAAATTCAAGAAACTTGCATTTTTCCACAGGTTTGTGCATTTTTATCAAATTTTTGGTTTTTTTTGCTCAACACCTTTCATGCCCATTAAAGAACTAATTTCTGTGAGGATTTTTCTGGAAAACGTCGATTAAAGGCACAAAAAAATGTAAATTTTCAGTTACCATGGACTCTTCAAATAAGGGAATAACTAATCTTTGGGCGCCATTTTTTCACTAATTTTACCTCTGAAAACAGGTGACCCCCACCTCATTCTTTCGCAAATATCTTGACTTTTATTCAAGACAAATGGATATTTTATTCATCCAAATAAAGACAAGTGAACAAGCTTTAAGATGATACCAATAACTCTACATGCTCAAAAATTGACGAGAGCCCGATTTCACCGCGCTGCCTCACATTTGAAAATGGTAAGGAAACAAAAGTGAAGTAAATTTGTCTGTCCGAAGTAAAAATTGTTGTTTTTGAGTCGTGTACTTTGCAACTGACACCATTTTGTCAGGCATACTGTTAGCTCAGTTGAGGTCATGCTGGGCTATGGTGCAGATGGCTGGTTCGAGTCCTCAAAGAGGTGTTCTTGAACTCTGGATTGTTGTGGAATTTTCAAGTGGCTTGCTTCAAACAGAGACGGGTGTCAGTTTTACAGGCCCTGTCTCTTAGATTACCGTACGGTACTCTTAAGCCCGCTACACACCTGCAGTTAGAATTGTTCGAGTTGAGCTGTCGAGTAAACCCGTCAGCTAAACCGGAACATGGTGTGTATCAACACCATGCAAGTAATAATAAATTTAAAAATAGCTTTTGTATAGCGCATATCCCCTCTCGAAAGCAAGCTCTATGCGCTTTACACTTTATTATTACCCCAGAAGACCATAGAACACTCAGAAACATTCTCAGCTTCCCAGGAAGCATACAGTGCAAGCAGCTAAGTGCTCAAAGTCAAACACTAACAAACTGACAAGATCTTTCACTGTTTATAGCTGGGTACCCATTTTCACCTGGGTGAAGTGGGAAAATTTCGTGTAAATTGCCTTTCCCAAGGACACAACGTCGGGCCCGCAGCTTGAACCCCCGAACCAGCTACCTCACGATTACGAGTCCGGTAGCCTAAACATAAGTAGACAGAAAACATTCTCTTGTTGTCTCGGCGGAACATAATTATGAATATCGAAGATACACTTGAACTTATCGAATACAGTTCAATAAATAAGAAAAAATATAATTTTGTAAATATCAATAAATTGAGCAGTATATGTATAGATCTTTTACTTTTGATACACTGTGTTGAAAAATATAATTATTTTTATAATCAGAATGATAGTTGTGTTTTTAACGTGTCAAAATCTTCTTCATGACAGGAAAAAAATCCTAGGGACGCTGCCTTCCTCAACTTCCTGTTGCAAGCCCCCCCTCCAAAATATTTAACCTGCCAATGTCTAATGTCCAACTGAAGCCAGCCAAAATGATTTTGTCACCTACTCAGTCGGAACCACTCCCATACCTGTCCACGCTGTTTTATGCTCACAAAAAATTCTGAAATTATGCAGACTGAGCCCAAAAATGTGAAATTATGGGATTCTGCTAATTTTAACAAAGAATGATAAAGGAAAATAATAAGAAATTATGCAAAAAATGATCAAATTTTGCTAAATTATGCGGGGTGCTTAAAACCCCGGGGACAGTCTAATGTCCAACTGAAGCCAGCCAAAATGACATTGTCGCCTGCTCAGTCTGTATCACTTCCATACACACCTTCCATTCTTCCAGCAGGTTGGCCTGTTCGAGTGAATTCAGTGAGTGTGTAACTGCAGGTGTGTTGCGGGCTTTACTCTTAGGGGACCTTCAAATTTAATCTTACACCTGGAAAAGGGAAAGGGGGGGGGGGTATCCCTGGTTTTTGTAAGAAAAGTGTAAGAAGGGGAGGGGGGTTGGGGTCTTGAACCAATTAATAATATTACTTTTTTTGTTGTCCCGAAGCGTTGACTTTATCAAAATTAAGCTGTAATTTGTTTTATTTGTAATATTAGGGCGATATTGACATGGGGTGGGGGGTGCAAAAAGTTCCGAAAAAGGTGTAAGATTATATTTGTACAGCCCCTTACTACAGTTTGACCAAACAGCCTTGATGTCAGTGACTTGAGCAGTGATTTAGATTTCTGGAGTGTGAATCTGCCCTATAAAAGTTTCTTTACTGGTTAGGTCCTGTGTGTCATTGTTACAGAAAGTGTCATGCCAAAATTCTTTTATTGCCATTCTTAACTTGTCTTATTATGCTTAATAAAATTCTTGTCTCCTATTGAGATGTTTAAGGTAGGCACACATTGTTCTAATGATGCAGTTGTCCTTGCATTCTCTCTGTCTCTCTCTCCCTCCCTCCCTTTCTAAGTTTCTCTGTCTCTCTCTCTCTCTCTCTCTCTCTCTCTATCTGTCTCTCTCTCTCTTTCTCTCTCTCTCCTGCGCTGATATTGGAAATTCCATTGACTGTTTGTGATACTAATAATAGTATAGCAATGTAGTTTTTAAAAATTATTTTTATACTGTCCCACTTAGAATGCATATATGTGAAGTATGCTGACAAAATGAGTTACTTGTCAGATTTGAGCCCTATGTATGGAAATAGATACATCACGCTTATAGGTGAAGCTTTTACAATTTATAAGTATGAAATAACAAAATGCATGTCATACTTAAAGAATATGGCATCAATAGAAAATCAACAAATTTGACCCCAATGTCGATTTTTGGCCAATATCTCCATTTGTGGATTGCGAGAAGTAAGTCATTTTGTCAGCTCGCCTCACATAGATCTATATGTTTTATTAATGGCAAAAAGGAAGAGAAAG